ATCAAGTTATTACTAGAAGACACCTAATTAACATTTTGTTACCAAATATCGCTCATTAGGTTGAAAAATATGGGTCACAACAACCTTTCACTCGTTGACTTTTAAACCACTCAAAAATCCAATGGCTATCATATAGCGTCATGATGACATCTCACTGTGAACCACCACTTAATAGCTCAGTAAGAAGGTATGACATATCATTTCAGACTTTGCTTTTCAATCAGCTGACCATGATAACCACAATAATTAAGTGGCTGTGTTTAAGTACTAAATATACATCATATCATGAAACATTACCTTATAGCTAGAAAAGTAAAGGTCACAAATCATTTCGGCAATCAATATATCCATGTACCTGCTATTCTAACTATTTATAAAACTGTTAACTCCAGACATAATGATTATAAGGTCGTCATCTCGGCTGATCGTCGGAGCAGATAAGTTTCTCTTCCATTGGCATTTGCTCCTCTGATTCATTCCAATAGCCATACAAGTACTGCCACTTTCTCCCTGCTCACCAGCGGAGACAAGATCATGTGACGCATATTTTTTAGTATCTTCAGAATAACCATGTTCATTCACCTCTGCTTCCTAGAGTAACCAATTATCTAGTTTGAATCAGTGACATAGCTAGTTGACAAGTTTCATGCACATATGCACACCATGTAACCATTTTAACACAATATTCACATCATTAACTGTCAACAGACAAACTTGGGACCAGTCTAGCCAGAATTAAGTCATTTTTGCACTGCAGGCATGTACCACAACCATACTTTATCACAAAGCTCAACTATTGTCCCAACATAATTTTTCATATCATCTCTTGACGTATGACTGCTTTACTCATTTGTTTCACAAAATGCAGCCATTCCACATAATCTTGTAGATACTCTGATACTTCTATGCTGGGTGGAGAGCCGTACCTCAGATTCATAGAGTTGCACTTCTCATGCCATCATGATATATATATGCTATAGGTAGGTGCTCATATTGATTAGTTCAACAAAGGCAAATTAAACCACAGACTAAATATTATATGGTAAAGAGCGAATTTTCACCACACCTAACACTAAACAAACTGACTGTTGAAATCAGCTACTTCATCCATATAGATTTCTCCAGGTGTACCAGAGTATGATACCCATTGTTTATCCAACACATCTGTGACACATTGCACTAATGTGTCAGCAGTGAAAACTTCAGCCAAGTTGGTAATTAATAGACCAGCACATACTCATTATCTCTCTCATATTGAGTAGAAGATAAACTATAATTAGGACAATTCTCTCCAAAGGGAAACCTATTACCACCTGCCAAAGGTTTTCCTGCTGTAGCCAATATTTCCTCTGTATGTTTTACAATGTTTACACCACGTATGTATACAGACAAACCATTTTCCTCATTTTAAATAGCGCAGTTGTTGCATTATGCATAGTCTATTGTATTTCCTACCTTAAAACTGAGGGCAAGCAGCTACAACACAGGGCCCTTAACACATCTTAATGGTTCATTATGCTAGTGAACCATACCATCATGCAGATATAATAGACTAGACAATTACCAAATATTGTATGCATAAGTACTACATTTGCCAGTTGGTGATGGAGTCATGATACCTTCTGAAAAGTAGCATTCAAGCTAGGTTTGGGGTTTTTCGGTTGGACTTCCCCAAGTTCCTGACTGGTCATTTATCATGTCTATTGAAACTAAAAAATTGTCACTGATTGTATAATTTATTATTAGTATTGTCAGCATCTTTATCACGATCAATGGACAATTTTGACAAAGACAAGATCACACTGATGCTTAGACTAAGGTGCACTTTAAGGTTTCGAACGCATTTTCCTGTTCTTATATCCACACAAAGTACATGTTAACCTTATTCAATGGACTCACTGCTGGAACTTTTTGGAGAAATAGGTCTCAGACTGTTAATAATACGATGCAAAATACAGCAAGCTACAGACTTGTTGTTTATTAGAAGGAAAGAGTCAGTCCTTGACCAGTGAGATAGTTATAGGATCAGTGGACACTTCATTCCACTGACTGTGTTACTGCAAAACTCCATTTTTGTGTGCATTAGTGTACACATTCCAGATTTTGATTACAAGCCTGAATCATTAAGTTGTCCAAATACCATTTTGAAGCTCTTAGGAGTGGTATGAAATAAGCAGTCAAAGATAAGTATGTTATCCTCTAGATAAGACATCTATTTCTCATGGCAGTCCTCTTAGTGTAAGCTCCATCAAGCTCTCAAAAGTGGCAAGTGAATTATACAGACAAAATATCGACTTCGAATTCTTACAGTTGTTCCAGAGTGCTTAAAGCAGACTTGTGTCTGCTTTCGTCACCTTTTTTGACTTGACAGTATTGAGAAATCAGATGTGTTGAATCAATTGGTAACCTTCACTGCATCCAGATATTTATCAGTATGAAGTAAAGAAAAGGTGTTGATACACATTACTCATCTGTTGTCCACACAGAATCTTCGCATCTCTTCCTCTTTGTTGACAATTTCATTGGAAATGACTGCTTATTCTTTCGATTTCAGTCCTGGCATTATCCCCGATCTTCAAGGAATTATATGCAGCAGTTGTTTTATCAGATGCATGTCACCTGTATCTTCGCAATTACATGTGATTGTTATACAACCTATATGGCTATTTGGTCCTACAAATACATCAAAAAACCTTCAAAAACTATTGAGTTCATGTTACAGTTTTCAGTTCAGCTTTTTTTGCACCATCATCAACTCAAAGCTTCAGATGCTTTAGAAATTCTATGTTCATTCTCAGGCACAGTATAGTGACTGCAACATTATTTAGCTAGTTTGTGTCACTTGTGCCTCTGTTACTACACCAATGAGTATTCCAGCTATTGGCTTTAGCACAGTTACAACACCTGTACATGGTCAGATTGCTGTTTAAGCAAGTACACCCTATTTTCTAGACAAAAACAGTTTCTTGCAATAGTCATATCACTGCAGTATGTGGCAACAAAGCACTAGACTGTGTCTATAGTACAGCATAGAATACTACATGGATAGATGGAGGTATTACTACCTTCAAGCTTATTGCTGCACCTGCCAAAGTTGGTGACTAAATTAAACTATGGCCCCAAGAGGTTTAAGTTAAATGAAATAACTGCTACCATAGCTCATCATCACCTTTCCTGCATCTGTTGCATTGTCAGTCTAAATAGTACTCGCATATGATCATCCTGTCTGGCAAAAGGGTATGGACATTCATGAAACCAACAACTAGGTAAACAACAATCGAAGTAAGGACTCGTTTCAATGTGTTCTTGGTACCTTTGGGAATCCAACTCTAGATGTATTTGTGTCCATGATAAAGTTACAAGGAATGCTTTATTGTCTGTTATAACAACCATTGTGGCCACACTATGATGATTTGTGACACCTGCTGCTTAGAAGATGGTTGTCGACATTTCTTTCCTTGGGACTATTCTAGACCCTAGCATTTGTCTCAAAGTTGAATCTGCAGCTGGATTCTTTCTCTACTTCAGGTAGTGGTTCAACTGCTTCAAATCACATATCACAGAAACTGCCTTCCTCAGAGATGAAATGTTTATCAGACCCATTTGATGCCATATGGTTCGCTTAGCAGCCTCTCTATAAACTTATCAATGAGCATCTCATCAGAATCAATGGGATACCTTCTTCGGAATATTTCATGCAATTCTCTAAATGATCTGCATAAGCAGTCAAGTTTTCTTGAAGTCCTCACCGTTGAACCCAGGCTTAGGTATTGCTCTACTTTCCTAAGGGTTAAATCTTTGGTGCAATTCATTAGCAACTGAAGTCCCAGTCATCTAGTTGCTCCTCTACTAAGTAATCTAAGACACTGATGTGGGACTATTTAGACTCAACATCAAATGTTGTACTGATTGTCCAAACATTCATCTCTTAGAGAAAACACCCAGCTTGAAATATTTGAAGATACAGTTCTAATCCTCTCTTGCAATATTCTGAATACAAATGGATTTACTAATTTCATTAGTTAAGTGATTGTGCCCCTGTGAACCTATTACCACATACTCGTTCATTGTGTGTCTGAGACGATGAGCACATTTGGGGAAAGCATCTTCTAGAAGTCCAAAGATGCCTGATGAATTTAGTGTAATCAAGCTAGTTCAACAGTAGGACGAATTGGCATGCATCATGTTGCCATCATAATAATGAAACATGTTATATAACATTTAATACAGCCCTTAGCCAACAGATGGGGTTATGGAGTATTATTAGTATCACTTGCCATCCTCAGATGTACAAGATTAAATACGATCATGATAGATCATAGTGAAATTCAACCTTATCTGCCTGACAACATTCCAATGAAAAGTATAAGACTTCAAACAGTGTATGCTTTCTCTGTCACTTTCCTTGATCACAGGTTACTCATGACAGTGTCTTCTAATGTCTAAGCTTGTTAATGAGCACAGTGGAATTTTACAGAGACCAACTCAGTAAATCTTGGGATGTTCAGGCTGCTTAATACTATTTTAACCCCTTTCTCTCACTCTCTGCTCTAGGCCACCATGAGAAATAACTATTGAAGATTACAACAGACACACAAAAAAATTGCTCAAATATGTGTTCATCAACCCTCACAGTCCATAGAAAGAAGTAAAAATGTGGAAATACGTCTCAAACTTGCTGGCAAAAGTTCAGGTCTAAGAGAATGTTCTGCTGGTCCTTATTGCATTCCCAAATTGTCCTCACTTCAACTGTAGTTCTTTTTTCAAAAGCTGTATGTTATCTCAGAAATGCCTATCCATGATCATAATTTACAAACATTAACTGTGCCAGACAGAAAAAAGAAGCACATTCAAAATAAATTTCACAATAAAAAATCGTTTGTTTACAGCACCAAAATGTAACTTTTTGGACATAGATGTTTGACAAATAAATTAAAGTATCCAAAAAATGCTGGTTCATGTTTGTTAAGTGAAAAATAAATTTAACTCAGAAATAAAAATGCACAGGTGAACAAAATCTTTATTCACAATAATGAAACATGTCTGTTAAAGCTTGCTAAGTTCTTATTTGTTTGCACTCAAACTGGCTACTGGGACTAGAGGATTTCCAAACAAGTTAAGGACAGGAATACTAATGTAATATCACACATTCAAGACAGACAATGGAGCCTTAGTATGGTATCCGATAAATCACAGATTAACTAAAAATAAATTTTCAAAATGACATATTCAGATACAGGTATCTATGTCAGCATTTGGAAAGGCTTTTCCCACTCAGGAAGTGATTAGAGATACAGGGTTAAAGTGGTACAAGTTTCTATGTTATAGCTGTTGTAATATAGAACCTAAGTAAATATAATAGTATATATTTACAACTTTTTGAAGTTTGATTTACAAGAATGCCATTTACTGTATGGAAAACACCTACAAGAAGTTTAGAACGACTGTTTAAATATACTTTACTAGAAACATATGTTCTAAAGCAGTTAATGAAGAGTGAAATTATCATACAAAATTATACCCTTCTTCGATAACCTGACTATCATTACCTTCATGTTATGATTTCTGTGCTCAAAACTATTACCCTCCTTTGATAACCTAAATACTTATTTTCAAATTATGATTTTTGTGTAGAATTTATGACATTTCCTTCACCTTCATTAATTAACATATTTTTCTATGATCTTTATGAAAGTTTAAAATGTTAATTGTTAAAGGGTTGTATATAATATTGCTTTGAATGTTAACATTTTCCTACACTGAAAATGTATTTCCAATAGATTCTTCCACTCACAAGTAGCTTTTCTCTTATACTGCCCTCTGTATGCGAATATTTTTGTTTGCCACTAGCCTTGATACTCCCACCTATCTTCGCATGAGACATTTACATGCTATAATGCAAATGATCATGCAGCAACCCTCTGTCAATAGGAGTGCTACCCAAAACTATTATTGTCACTAGCGCCCTCGCTTTCGTGCAGTTCGTAATCACTTCAAGATTGGGCAGTATAAACAAAGCCTACACTGGAAATGAGAGAAGAGGTAAATATATATCGAAAATACATTTTCAGTGTAGAAAAATGTTAATTTTCGATACAATATTTTATCTCCTCTCACAAGTAGCTTGAATCAAACATTGAGTTGGCAGAGGGTCTGGGTGAGAAGATGATCTTCCTTTAGAAAGCACCCAAAAGAAGACCATTGGGTGCATGAATAAATGGAAGGCAACACCACTGAGGGAGACTACACCACTTCTGAGCCAAGTATACTCTTCTCCTACATAAAAATGTGTCACAATAAGGGCAGAATCACAGGAGAGACCTCCCCCCACATCATCATGTGTGCACATCCAACACCCTATCTGCTGGAAACCGAAATATGGGGGATGGTAGGAAGGTGGACAGAAAATTAGGGGTGCATCTCCAGTCCATCACCATATGGTATTGGGAATGTATAATCCAATCCACAGTAAAAGGAGGGTATCTAGCCACACACACTTGATGACTTATATAGCTGGTCCAGCTCCAACCACCACCATATCCACCAAGAAAGGACATCCGGGGTACAGTAGGAAAAGGGTGCCTCGGCTGGAGGGGCAAACTGCATGTTCACAGAATACATCGTCCATCACCTGATGGCATCTGGGAATTGTACATTAGATATGCAGTAGGATGAACGTCATCATCATCTACACCAGCAGAACACAACTGCCTTACTCTGAACTGAATGTGACTGAGCACATTAGTCGGAAGCCTCCATGGTCCACCACTCCAGCTGCTAAGGACATCCATATTCCACCAGAAGAAGAAGAGGGCACAGCATTTTGGAGAGCCCTGAAGAACACAGCACTGGAGACAGTGCAATGGGTGATTGTAACACCTTATTCTAAAAAGCAGCTAATGTGTCACACAGCTGGCAAAATTATTGGTGCCCAGGGATAACTGAAGAAAACCCCAAGCAGTTCCCAAGGATGGGCTCAACAATATGAGAACAGTGCAATGGGAACATCAATACACAGAAATAAGTAAATAATAACAAAAAACTGATGATTGTCATCTTTGTTAGAACTAAGACATCTAGAGACAATGTTAGTCTTGTTACTGACATCTCTTATGCCACATAAGGACATGAACACAGAGGAGGAAAAGGTCCCTGTCAAGGCAACATCAGCCATCAGGTGGCACCCTATATCCATTTCATGCTGCTCCAGCTTACAGGGTAGCATTTTCTCTAGCACAAATTCATGGGCAGATGTAAGTCTTGATCAGACTGGACAATTCCATATAGTGCCTCATAGAAGGAGAGACCATGTTTTTTTTCTTTGTGTGTGTGTGTGTGTATATATATGTATATATATATTATATATATATATATATACACAAAATATTTTTCTCTGATCTTTATGAATGTTTAATATGTTCTTTGTTGAAGGGTTTTATATAATACTGCTTTACATTTGCAAGTTCTGTTTGTTTGTTTTGAAATTAAGCACAAAGCTACACAAAGGGCTATCTGTGCTCTGCCCACCACGGGTATCGAAACCTGGTTTCTAGCGTTGTAAGTCCGCAGACATACCGCTGTGCTACTGGGGGGCTTGCAAGTTCTAGCTTTAATCATTGTTAAAATGCTGAGCTTGTGTGTCTTGTTTACATGTTTTGTTGTATAAAAGTTTCTCAAGTACAAAGGATGCATAAGTGGTGCACTTTTTATAAATATGTATAACTGGATTTTATCTTTGCAGTTACATGGGATATGGTATGCAAGACATACCAGGTGTATGTTACATACATATATATATATAAACCAAAGATATTCTAATTCACGGACATCCCTAGATTTGTGAACAGGTGTTAGAAAAATACCTGGGTTGCCTAGGGTGAACACAAATAGAGAAAATGCAAGAGTTGTGACTCAACAAATTAATATAAAACAGATTTTTGATGCATAAGAAGAGAATGTACTTAATTATTGTATCTTTCTTGTTTCATAATGGTTGCTTTGAAGTTAAAGTTATTTATAATCACATATACCCAGGAAGTCATTAAAACAATTGGTGATGGGCAAAATACACAAAAAACTCCAAGAATCTGATTCCATCAAGCCTGAAGAATAATCACAGGTAGCAAACAGATTCACCTCCATGCTGGCCTTCAAGATGCTCTCTAAAGTATAAAGAGACCAGGATGCCAAAGACATTGCCAAATGGCAAATGTGATGAGATGTACCATTAAACTTGTTGGGAACATCATGATAACTTAGACGAATCCAGTTTGTTGATAAGGATGGAACAAGATCCATGGATCAAGGATTGTGATGAAGTATAAACAAATGATGTTGATTTCTTCAAAAAATATACTGTTCTTGCAAATTAGGAATAACCAGCACTGACCAAATACAGAAAACATTTGTCAGAAGGAGAACCAGGGTTAGTTAGTTAGCAACACAATAGGAGAAAAAAAATTGAGATGAAGATCTCTTGCAACCCAAGCATCAGGTAAGAAGGCTCTAACATGAGATAGAGTTTTCCTGCAAAACAGAAAAGAATATGCAAAACATCAATGGCTAAAATAAAATCAGAATGTCTGGAGCAAATAACAAAATATAATACAAATTCAGGGAAAATGGCACAGTGAACAAGTTGTGAAAGGTTCAAAATGTAAAACCAAGAAACTTAAGACCAGACTGAAATACCATTGCTGAAAAAGTCTAAGTACTTTTGGGAGACATAATACAAAAAATAGAGCAAACCTAAAAAAATCTGAGGCTTACAAATGGACATGATTTCTGTGGCACTGAAAGTGGCTGAGAGAGCAACTCTGTAGCTTGCACCCCTTTTATAAGATTTTCATAGATTCCATAAAAAGGATGAATACCTAGGAAACAAATGAAATGGGAAAGATCAGACCCTGGTCTCCAATCCACTGTTGTTTTTGACAACACATAGATGAGAATAAAAGCTCAGAGAAAACATGAAGTACAACACCAATATCCCCTTGTTGTGGAAAAGGTTCAAAACTTCATATCCCAAAATTAAATAGAAGAGTCGGTTTTGGATGATGAATAGAAAACTGAGGTCAAGAATCCTATGAGCCCAAGGAACATGAATCAAGGGGTCCATATATAAAACAAATATCCACACAAAGTAGTCATCCATAAGAAAGTCAATGAGTGATACAAAGAACCATCTTGCTTATATCGACACCGAGACAAACCAAAAAGTAGGAGCAGATGTAGCAAGCACTGAGAAATATTAGATACAGGAATCTTAGAATGGTCTAATGACCAAATGTAAAACAAGATGCTAAAACTCTAATCAACTCCTGCTGGCAAGCTTCCTCTCAACATATGAGGTAAAGTGAAATACCTGCAAAGACAAGTAATGTAGCAAGTTATATATATACATATTTTGTCCATCATTTGATCAAAAAATGAATACCTGACATCACAGCCCTATGGAAAAAAAAGTGTCAAAAAACACATAAGAACCATGTGGTAATGGAAACAATATCAATCAGAACCAGAAGTAAGAAAGACCTGAAAGTAGATATGTGATCCTGATTAAAATAATCAGATGAATGAGAATAGCTAATAATGGTGCTTAACCCTTTTGGCATGGATGGTGAGCAAAATCGACATTTAAACAGTGTTGTTGGTGACATAACAACCCTTTGTCTGTTTGGCTTGATTGTGTGAAAAACTTGTGATATCTCGTGTACTTTTCTGTAACTGTTTTTTAAATATGTAAGGTTGTGTTTTTTTTCATTTTTGTGGAAAATATATTCAGAGCTGTGATATCAGAATTAAATTTTCATTCAGCTTTGAAAGGGTTAAAAATAAGACAATTCATAATGTGCCAGCCAGAAAACTGACAAAGGGTTAATGTAGAAACCCAAACGGAAGACTCCCCTCGCTCCCAAAAATCAAATCAAGGCTCAAGAACTTGAGAAGGAAAAGTAGATGTGAAATATGAAGTGTACGAATACAGGGCTCCTTTCAAAATTATCCGCAACCACAATACCAGTAGAATGTGTGACAATTAAAAATATTAATTATAGAAATCATTTCACATTGCACAAGCACCCTCAAGTGTAATGCAAATATGCTCAATATTGAAAATATACAACATACCTGTGAGAAAACGAAATAGACCAACAGAAATGTCATTAGGATTAGCACTGTAACAGACAATACCAGCCCTGCAAACTCTGAAGGAAAAGAAGGTCTGAGCAATAAATGAACCTTCATCAATACAAAAGAAAACACCAATTGTTATGCAAATTAAGCATCTACATGATCATGATATCTACCAGAAATATCAGTACAAAATAGCACAACTACTTCAATATATCAGAGCTGACATAGGATCTACCATTTACCCTGCACATTAAGTTATAGAAATTCCATCAGTTGGAAATCATTGCAACAGAATGAAAATGTAGAGAGCAGAGCTTATCTGAGATCACCTGATGCTTGCACCATAATTCACATAAAAAATGGGAGTAGAAAACTATGGGTAAGAGTCACATGCTCTGAAATACGTCAAAAGAATACTTGGAAATTTAAGTCACAATTTTTGTTGGCAATATGAGTTTAAACTCAACAAGGAAAGGCTTTTAGTATTTCGGAGGTAAGTCTACCCAACTTTGATTTCATCACTTAGACGTGGCTATATGGGCTTTACAACAGAGAAACTTGTTATGGTATGCATCTGACTTATTCAAGTCCTAGTTACACTTTATCATAGATCATTCCATTGTGGTTCCTCTAACTCTCACATGAAAGCTATCAGTGTAGATCTGAGTAGTTTAGTATTATGTAATGATAGTGATTGTATGGAAATTTAGGAGCACCTGGAGACTGTGTCTTCTATATTTTTACTTATGGGATTATCATAAGTGGGTTGGGTAGCACATGTTCTCCAGAAGAAATGATTCCTCTGTACTATACGGTTATCAACTCTGTCTTAATCTTATTCAGAATTCCTTCAGATGTTTGTCTGTTTGATTTCTGACAATGAGACTACACCATCAAGACAGCAGTGCTGTCTATCCTCTGTGCCCTTGTCAACTTGTTTAGTGTTGATTTCTGATAAAGATTTTTTTCTCTTTGTAGTTTACATTGTGCTCAGTTTCTTTTGTCAACTCAAAGGCAGATATTCTGCCATTCTTCTCTTACTACAGATACTATTATTACCTGTAAGGTAATCACCTGAGAATATAATTAAATTTCAATTTTGTGCATGGTTGAGTTTCTTTTTTTGCATTAAATCATCACCGATACAAATATATTTCAACTTCAGTTTTATAATAAGTTTATTTTAACCTAATGTAGTATTTAGTTTCAGTAGCTATAGCTGCACAGACGTTCCACCAGAAGGGGTAGTGAACCATCCCTTTAAGTAAAAGATAAAAAAAAACAATTACACTTCTTTTAGCATTGTATTGTGTTCCTTGACTCACTACTTAACATCACATCATTTTTCTGCAGAAATATATATATATTTATATCATTTGTTTTACTTAAAAGATAATCACTACCTATAAAAGGCTTATTCCCGTTGTCATTCTGTCACTTACACTTATCATACAAGGTAATGAAATGAAAACTACAAGCCCAGTGGTAAATTACGTTATTTTGGAACACTTATCATATAAAGTAATGAAACGAAAGCTACAAGCCCATTGGTAACTATTTTAGAATGCTTACCATATAAAGTAATAAAATGAAAGCTACAAGCCCATTGGTAAATTACAATATTTTAATTGTTGTTAATACAAATATTATTGTACCATTAAATCAAATTGACATTAAATCTTCATTGTTATTTGGTGAGTACTTTAAATGTCAATGAAACCAAAGATTATGGTGGCAAAGTTGTAAATGCATATTGGAGGTTTCAAATTTGGTAGGCTTTGGTTTCCCATAATTTTTGACAGGCTTTTATACTAGTTCAATATAAATTTGTATGCAAAAAAGTGTATGAATATTGTGTATCAAAATTCAATACCATTATGAAAATATCTTTATTCTATAAAATCTAATCAGGTTCACTGCTATAGTTATATATTTTGTGCATCTGGCTCATTATGTGATTCATATATCATATATATTTCATTGCTACAACAATTATGCATTTAATAATATACTCCATAAAAATATAATATAACATACTTTCAGGTATAGCTTCCAAAAGGCCTCATGGGTAGAATCAAATTGGTGAGTACTTCAAAAAAATTAATAGAATTCAGACTAAGGAAATGCCTACTTCAACATCAACCAATCAAGTTTCTTCTGTTGCTAAAGGTGATTCAAAAAATGTGATAAAAATTTCCACTAAAAATGAAACTGATAATTCAAAATGAAGCTGTGTCTGAATCATCACTTGCATCCCACAATTCATTAGACACTGCACATGCAGTAAACAGTGACCTAACTGAACCTGAATGGCGGAATGTAAAGTGCACAGCAGAACTTTTAAAGTAGCCGGAAAAAAATTTGAAGATAACTAAAACCATCTCATTTCAACATTCTTGGCTCCTAGAATTCAAATGGCTGGCCTACAGTGAAATTCTCCCCAGAAAAATTGGTATGTACCATGCACACCTTTCTAAGTTAACGACAAAAATAATGCATCTGTTTTCGTTACTGCTCTATTTTCACACAATAAGTCTGGTGAGCTCCTGTGCAAGCATGAAGCAAAACTTTGTCACCAGGATGCTGTTCGAAGGTCTGTAGACTTCCAAAAACAGTTTGAAAATCCTTCAATGAGAATATACAGTAGAATCTCAACAGTAAGGGTACCCTTCCAACTCCATCCAAATACTCTCTATATCAAGGTGCCTTTAATATCAAAAAGGAGCCACTCAAAGCTGGATTTCCCATTGACTGTATTAAATTTTTGAATTTTAAAGCCCCCACATTTTGTTTGGTGTATGCAGGACACGGGTGTTCATGAGCTGCACTTTGCCAAGACATAGAGCATTGTCAAACAGAAGGTCTCAGGAAGTGGATTAGCTTTGCCCTTTTTTCTTTATTATTGGTCACAAAGTTTCAAAGTACTTCTTTTCAGAGTTTGAACTGCTAAACATTTCACATTTATTTTCTGTGTTTATTTTACTGCCAAAGACTGAAGTAGAACTCCTTTGAAAATAAAGCAACAAATCACTGCTTGTGTCATTAGACTGTTTATGTGACACTGTAATAAGATACTCTCGAGAGCAACAAAGCATGCATACAGAAATAAGCCAACTTGCCCCTTCTCCGAAAACAAGATGTGGAACGTATCAGCTTATGTATCCAACAATGTTTACAACAAGAATAATAAGATTGCACTTTGAATCCTTGAAAACTTTTATTACAGTATATGGTTCAGAGCTGATCCAATAAACCTTGCAAGTGTTTGAATATTGGTCATCTTTCTGGGATGTTTGGAATATAGCGGTATACCATGCAGGCAGGCAAAGATAACTGCCTCTTTTATCGAGTGCCTGTATAGAGAATAAGACTAAAGACATTGCCCTTAATCTGGAATACTGAGGTGCCCATTACTGCATGATTTATTTTGGTTACAAATAGTAGGAAAAAGAAAGAAGCTGAAAAGGTCTGCCCATAATAACGGGGTGCCTGTTAATCGAGGTTCTATTGTAAATGAAATAAATAAATCAAATATGAAAAGCAATTTCAAAATTCTTCGAATATTATATATGCTGTTTTTTCTCTGTGCCCAACAGGGTATTGCTTTTGCTAAACTCCAAGTTCAAATGAGGGAAATTTTATTGCTGTCTTACGATTGGCTGAAAAAGATGATTATTTAAAAAAATATCTTACTTCACACCCAAAGAAAGCAAAATATATATATATATACCCAATGATATCCATAATGAAACATTGCAAGTGACAGCAGACTAGATGAGAAAATTTGTTTTAGAAAATTTAAAGAATGGTCCACATTTTTCCATAATGGCAGATAAAGTCACATCACATAATGAAATTCTCTCAGTCTGCTTATGCTTTCTCAATATGAAGAAAGCAGGCAAAAATCCTATAATTCATGAAATGTTGATTGACTTTGCACCTCTAAAACAAATAACATGTGAATTGCTGAGAAAATAAAGGAAACATTAATAAAGCATTTCATTGATATTGGTGATTGCAAGAGACAGGCTTATGAAACAAGAGCATCAATGAGTAGCATAAATGGAGTTCAGGGACATATAAAAAAGTATTGCCCCAGATGCTGACTATCAAGTTTGCCTTCTATATTTCCTAAATCTGGCAATCTGTCATCCTTGTGTACTGCCTTCAATTCACAACATGATCAATACATGCCAAAAAGTTTATGCATTTTTTGACAATTCTCCTAAACGTTTTTCAACTTCAAAGTTTATGTAAAACAAGATGGACTAAGAAGCATACAATATATGATACTCTTTTTGTTCTCTATTGATACATAATATGAACACTAGAAGAAATTTGTAGACCATCTGATGGACCCTTTGATTCTGATGTTGCAAACTGGAACTGTGATAATGACATGTAAGTAAAAGCAAATGGAATACTGCATATTTTCACAAGTTTTGAGCATCTTTGCATTTTTCTTGGCTAAGTAGCTATCGAGCCCCTTTCTCCTCTTGCATCAGCCTTGCAAGGTGAACACATGAAGGTTTAAGAAAGTTAATTCTGTAATTGATTATTACAAGAACATGAGATAACACCTTTGAAAGACTATACAAAAGACTTTTGGATTTTGCAGCAGAGAATGATATCGCAGAAAGTGTAACCAAGGCAATGTGGGCAACAGCAGCACAGAGACAACAAACCAGCCAAATCCATTAAAAGATTATTGAAAAAAGTCCATTGCAATTCCCTTGTTGGATCATATCATTTCTCAATTAGAAAGTTGATTTGGTGAGAACAAACAAGCTAATTTTGAGTTATGTAGCCTAATACCTGAGTTAGCTCAAGATATGGATGTTGAAGCTATTCCCACTATCCTATTTGATAAATGGCAGCATATATTGCCAAACCCAGAATAACTTCACAGTGAATTAAACAGATGGAAACATACCTGTGAAAACAGCAAGGAGACCTCAGGAAGAATAACTCTGTTTTGCACTCAAATGCTTGCTTTTTCCCTAATGTATGGGAGCTTCTTTTTGTGTTGGCTGTACTTCCCATTGGCAGTGTTGAAGCTTTTCTTGTCTTTGAGGAATTCATTCATGGTTACAAAGAACAGTGAGTGTGCCCAGAATGAGAAATCTCGGTGTTATTGCTATGCATGCATTTTCTATGAGCAATTTTGGAATCACAAACGAACATATAGCAAAAACATTTATTGAACTTCATCCTCGACATATGACTTTTAGCAATATACTAAGTACTACAAATTAATTTCTTTCTTTTAGAATTTTTCTGTTTGTTTATTTACTTCTTTTTGGTTTTGTAAAATAAAGTGTTAAAGCATGTGAATTTCTCTAGCTTTATGCAAATATATAAATACAAATGACATTGAAAATTTTGATATTCAAACAGCTAGCCACCCCCCTCAACAAAATCATGGCAAAGAGACTGCTGTAGCAATGTAATGTAGTACATCTAAAAGCATCCTGACATTACATGCCACTACTAAGGTGACTGAGCACTTGGTACATGTAGTTATTGGATATTAGTGTATCATACTTATTTTAATATCCTAAAAAAATAAACATCAATATATCATATACTAGAATTCATCACAATAATTGTACTGTACCTACTATTATCATTTTTGCTAACCAGGTAATATAAAAGTTATTGGTCTTTCTTGTCTACTTTTATTTTTTTACAAATGTTGGTCCTTGGCCTGTCGAGACATTTTGTGGATCTCCTTTCAGTCCTCTGTGCAAAACCTAATTACTTAAACATCATAATTGATAAACAAACAAAATAATCATCACTTTAATTATAAAACTTTTTTTGAAACACTATTTTGTCATCAACTTTTATGAGTACCAAGTAACAGCTGCCTCCAAAATTTTAACATCTCTTTACTTAAACTATATATTTTACTAACTTTGACTATTCTTCAAGGAATATACTGATGAAACAAACATATCACAAGTATTCACCTTTCTCAATTACCAAAACTTTATCAAATAATATTAAAATATGTATTATGATTTTTCCCATTACACTGTATTATACAAACTACATTTCCAACTATAATTATCTTAAACTTATATCACTGGAAGAGCAAATATTTAATTTGATTTCTACTGACCTCAATTATACTTTTATGAACAAAACTGACCTACCCTTTGTTTTAATTAGTTAGAAAGTTTTTGAAGTTAAAAAAATCTAATGGATGTTTCAATATTTTACAATTAATACATATTTTAGTATTTATTAAATGGAGATTATCCTATAAGTGTGAAAAATAATGCAGGAACAAATAAATTTCAATTTTGGAAAGCTTAACTCTTCATCAGTCTTTCATAGATGTAGCTTTTAAACTCCTTTCAATATAAATTAAAGATAGCACCAATGAAATATTTATAATACAAGAATTAAATTCTACTTTTTATTTCGACTTTTGAAAATAAATGGGATTTTTGTAGCCCAGATAAAATGAATTCAAAACCTCATTAGTAACAGCTTTATTGGGCCTTGTTTTTTTATACAATTTTGTTTATGAAGTTTTTTCTAGACATTTCTAATTTTTAAGCACAATTGGTGTCACTCTTAAAATAAATTATTTCATTTTATGTAATGAAAAATTCGGTAAGGAGATTATTTTTATCTCAATTAAATCACTTGTTTTTGGATAAAATAAGCTAAAAATTTAAACAAGAAATTTTACACATTTTTATGTATTTTAATGATACAGTCTCAGTGTTTTAGTGGAGATGTTATCTATTTTAATATAATAAGAGAAGGATCAAGTATTAATGTGTTTACTTTAAAAAACAACTCTTACACATTCATACCTTACTCACCAACTTTGTAAAGGTGTACAGTGATATACTTTTATGCATTTCAAAAATTTTGAGCTTACTGAAATAAAAACTAGATATTTAGGTGACATGTTTTTCTTGTATTATAAATTTCACATTGCATACAAATAAACATGAAAAACATGATATTTTTCTAAAAATTTTTAATAAACGAGGTATTTTATATGGAAGGAAAAACATAAATCTGGAAGAAATGAATGTTAAATAAATTTTAAATCAAGCTCAATGGTTTCTTTTCTGTATATAATATCATTATTGTAATGTACCTTATTACTTATACATATATTCAACTGATATCTGCTGTTGACCTACTAGAAAGATGTGGTGGTTCATATCTTATTTATACTGATTCTTCAAAGAATATTTCAATAATTTGACATAGTTTATTATTATGCTCTATCTTACAAAATTTTATCAGTTGAAGTTAAGTAAATTAGAAAATAATTTACTTTCACCTATTATGAATATAATGCTTCTCAAAATCATGTAATTTACATCTAAGGTCCTTTTGAGAAGTGCATTACTAAGGGCAGTGTTATGGCAAAAATACCATACACCATGGCAACAGTGGCTAGAGAATTTATTTTCATTTTCCACTCTAAGTTCTTTTCTGTATTTTTCACCAATTTTCCTACATCCTCACCAACATAAACAGCAGTAGGTGGTGGTATGTCTCCTCCAAAATCTTTTAGTCCAACATGAGCTGCAAGTAAAGTTTTCACTTCTTTCATATCTTCAGACAGAACTTTTTCTTGACGTTGAAGTACAGAGAGAATCTGATGTGACTTGGTTTCCATACTGTCAATATGAGTATCTACTATTTCACTACCGCCTATGCAATCTTCGTGTTTAATACTCGTTTCTGAACTTTCTCTGTGCTGTACAAGGATCTTCTTAAGATCTTCAATAAAGCCTGTCACTTGGGCATACTGGGTTTTTAGTACATCATTTAAACTGCTGAATAACTTCTGCAGGTCACCGTGACCTGCAGTTTCCTGCACCAATCCTCTCAATTCTTTCATTCGAAGCCAGTTGTTAATGCTAGTTCCCAAAATTCCAATTACTGCTCCACAAACTGAACCAATGACTGACCAGTACTTCGTCCTCTCCGCTTGAGCTCGTTCCTTCTCATGGCTTTCTCGAACAGCTAATGATAATGCAGAGAAATACTCTCTCTCATTTTTCTCTAGCTGTTTAAATTCTTCAATAAGATTTTTTTCTTCCTTAATAATAGTATGCTCCTAAAAAAAGGTTTGATTATTGTTAGACAAACTTGTCGTAAGAATTTTAATTGTATTCAAATTTATAAATATTCCCATTAAAAAAAGTCAAAATCTACAATTATGCATCAGAAACATAAAACTCGGTACATGTAGGTTATTAAACATTTAAAAAATCAAATTCCTGACAATGTTTCAATAACAATGAGTTAGAGTAGTTGTATGCTAATATCAGCAGTATACATTATATAGATAAAAATATTGTATCTTTTCATGAAAGTAACTATGGATTTACTTCAAAAAAGTAAAAAAGATCTGTAGATGAATTTAAATATGCAAGTCCCTGAAGAACTAAAATATTTCATGCAAAGTATTGCAACATTGCTTAATACATAGATTACAAATGTTGAAATAAGCAACCAATAATTTCTAATATTGTAATCAAATGAGAACTTTCATTTACTTGTCAGTCAGATTTTTGACTTAAAGGTTGTACAATTAAAGGCTATTTTAGCACCTTTTTTATCAGCTATTTGATGAATTTTCTGAGTGCTATAGTTTACTTTAGTAAAAATGTGTCACCCAAAACATTTAATAAATCCTTAAATTAAGTGTTAATCAGTAGGTCAGTGTAACAACAGAAAATAAAATTGCAAAGGATATTGGTCTCCAACAGGAATGGACCTAAAAGGTAACCAATTTGCTAATTAGTATCCTTATTCATAGTTGCACTCTGTGATGATCTATCATCTGAAAGTTATAATTTTCCTAAGTGAAATGTATTTCCGATAGGTACTTTCTTCTGTTCACAAGATTAGCTTTTCTCATTTTTTGTTGCCCTCGTATGCAAACTTTTTCAGAAATGCATGCCACAAGCCTTCATCATCTTTCTTTTGGAATCCAAAGTTCCAACACATCTCTCATGCAAATCATCATGCGTCACCTTTCCTCCAATAGTAGAGCACTGCTATCACATGACACATGTGATGCCCTCTATATGCCACTACCAAACTATCACTTCGAAGTTTGGCAGAAGACGTGAGCACCGGAAGATCGTGAAGAGGACGGGTGGGAAGTGTGAGCAGAGGGAAGTATCTATCGGAAATACATTTTCACTTAGGAAATTTATAACATCTGATAAAATACTTGCCCTCCGCTCACAAGATTAGCTTGAATCTCACATGGAAATGGAGGAAGGTCCGGAAGCATCCAGAGGACACCCCCAAACTGAGAGAAACAGATCAGATGATCTGAAGAGGGGCACTACACCACATCTGAGCCAGGTATCTCTTTGCCAGGAACAATGACATGGTCAGGAGGACCAGACATGGCAGAACATGAAGGGAGCACATTCGCATGGGAGAGGATAGTTTAGCGATGTGATCTTAAACAGAAATCAGAATCACTTTATCCCATGATGGAAAGTGGGCAAGTGAGGATGTGTCCCATGGTGTAGTGTCTCTAGGGCATGTTGGACCATACTTGGTAAGTCAACTATATCAAAAACCCTCACTCACTGGGTACTAACATCCTTGGAATGGTAGGATTTGGATCATACCATCTTCACCTTCAGTTCCAGAGTCAAGAGGGAACCTAACATTTGACTCCAGGAACTGACAGGGTAGCCTAATATCATGGATCAACCCCCACGACCATGAAACCAGCCCAAAACGACACCAGGTCGATAACAACCTCGTCACTCAACAAGAGAAAACCCAGGACAGAAGCAGAAACAGGCCATGTAAGCCTTCTTCGACCCACAACACAGAAGACCTCGAGAGGAGAAGATAGATAACCCAAAACCTATGTGAGGAGGATCTTGTAACTCTCTCTACACTAGCAAAATACCACTGCCTTACTCTGAGCTGAATGGTTATAGCCATATTTGTGGAACCCATCCAGCAGGTTACCTCCATGGTCAACCACCCCAGCAGCTTGGAACTGGTAAGTGGTAAGGACTTCCATACTCCACTGGAAGGGGGAAAATGAGCAGTGGAGAGTCCAGAGGGACTGCAACACCCAAGACAGTGCAATGGGTGATCACAAAAGCAGACCACACAGATTTATTCAATCTAGTTATGGCAGAGATGGGCAGCAGTCCCCTGGTTACGTCGAGGGTGAAAATATCTGACTTAAGATGCCAGCAGGCCAGGAGGAGGAAGAAATATGCCTTCAAAGAGAGGTGAAACAGGGAACATATAGACATAGGTTCGACCAGAGGTAAAGTGAGGGCATGAAGGACCATGTTAATATCCTAATAGGGGAGTGATGGACGTCTCATTGGCCGAAAGAACTGGAAGGAACAGATCAACATGGAAAGGACAGGGGAAGCAAAGACCCCACGGAAACATAAAAAAACGGAAGGTATGGGATAATGCCACCTGAATCTCTGAAATCAAGGAGACCAAACACCCCTTGCAAGGAGCCATGGGAGAAACATGGAGCCAGTATGGAGCAATCAGAAGAACCATGCACAGAGTGGCATGGATGAGAAAGACCACTCAATGAAGTAAACAGATGGGAGGGTAAACATAAAGGAACAGATGAAACCAATCCTGGCTGAAGGCATTGACAGCCAAGGCTCAATGATGGGGAACCGGAGACCAAAACCAAGGTAATTTGTGATTGAAGGCAGTGGCAAAGGCATCAATATGGGGCATACACAGATGCAGATAGAGCCACTGAAAAACAGCTGGATGCAGGAACCATTCCATGGGATAAACACGATCCGGTTGGGAAAGTTGATTGGCTATGATATTGAAAGCACCTGGTACATGACACACCATCAAAGGAGTTTGATGTGTGTGGTCCCAATAAAGAAGATCCATAGTGTGAAAACACAGGGATCTGGACCTGGTGCCACCTTGGTGATTGATATAAGCCACCACAGTAGAATTGTAAAAATGGATCATAACCAGCCAGCAACTGGCAAAAGAAAGAAAATGATCCAAAGCTCAACAAACAGCCAGAAGTTCAAGAACACTGATGTGAAGAGAACTCTCCTCCAGAGACCAACAACCCAAAACCTCCCAGTGATCCACCCAGCCCTGAAGGGATGCATCTGTGAACAGATGTAAATTTGGCCACAGAGGAGGAAGCAGGACCCCCACCAACGTGTAGGTCCTGTTCAACCAACAATGGAGATCATCTACAAGGGATGAGAGAAGGGGTATAGAAGTATCCAAGGAATCCCAGGCGAGGTTCCATTGATTGTGAAGAACCCATTGAAGAAACTGCATATGGGCCCTGCCAAGGGGTATGAGAGGGGTCATGGAGAACCACACCCCCAAAAGCTTTAGAACCTCACAAGGTGTAAGTGAGGAAAGAGACAGGGCTCTCCAAACAGCCTGTTCCATAGAATGGAGCCAAAATAGAGAAGGTTGGGCCAGACTGAGATGGGTGTTGAAGAAAACATCCAAATGGATAAAGTATTGGGTAAGACAAAGGAAAGATTTCTCCAATTTGACCAACCAGCCCACCTGTGCAGCTACGGCCAGAAGCTGATGAGTGTGACAGGCTGATTCCCATTCGGAATGAGCAAGAAGTCAGTTGTCCATATAAGATTG